CTCCCAGCCCAGCATGACAGACCTTTCCAATCAACCATCCAAGTCATCTTGGACTCTCATTGTGCAGGTTCTGCTGCTTTAGAATTTGCTTAGAGCCATTTTTATAGATATTTGGAGGGGTTTGAGGGAGAGCTCAAGCAAGTCACTGCTTTTACTCCACCATCTTGGCTATGACCCCTATATTTGGCAATTTAAAAAAATCACTTTCTCTGCAGTTTAATCTCAATTGATGCTGTCTTTTCACAGAGAATGCCAGAAACCAAGGGGTCTTTGCTCTAAGCCTGCAATCATACTCCTTTGACAGCCAGGAGGCCTAGGAGGCTGGACCTGAATTCAGGGCAGGGACTCCTGACTCCATAGTACACCTCAGACGCTCAGGGGCTGCCAGATCCTGGGCAAGGCACTATTAGCTTCTTTCAGCCTTCACTTCATCATTTGTAAGTGGGGCTGATAGGGGCACCTCACCCTAAAAAGGTGTTGTAAGGACCAAATGAAAGGAGGGGGAGAGGGAGAGGAGCAAGGAGAAAGAAAGAGAGACAGAGACAGAGAGACAGAGGTAAACAGACAGAGGGAGAGAGAGAGAAGAGAAAAGGGGGGGAGAGAGAGTCAGAGAGACAGAGAGACAGAGACAGAGACAGAGAGAGTGGAGGTGGGGAGAGGTTCACAAACCTTAAGGCAGCATATAAACATTAGCTTTGTATTGTTGCTGTTACCACTGAGTAGTAACTGGTAGTTACTAGCTAGCACCACTAGCGGTAAAAACAATCGTATTTCTGCAGTATTTTAACATTTGTGAAATGTGTTAAAGTATTCATGTATTTGATGCTCATGGCAACGCTGGGTGGCAGGCACTATTATTGTCCACATTTCATAGATGAGGAGCCAGCAACAGAAAGAGGTTAAATAACGTGTCCAGGACACAGCCAGTCAGGGTCTGGGGACAGATTTGAAATGAGGTCTCTTAAACGCAGTTCTAGTAATCTCTTTGTTTTGTTGTCATCCAGTCATTTTTCAGTTGTGTCCAGCTCTTTGTGACCCCATTTGGGTTTTCTTGGGCAGAGATACTGGAGTGGTTTGCCATTTTCTTCTCCATCTTATTTAATCGATGAGGAGATTGAGGCAGACAGGGTTAAGTGGCTTGCTCAGGGTCACACAGCTAGTGTCTGAGGCCTGATTTGAACTAAGGTCTTTCTGACTCCAAGCCCTGTGCTCTGTGCACTATGGCGCCATCTAGCTGTCCATTTAACAATCTCTGGACTGGGCCAGTGTTACATATCTTTGTCAGCAGAGCTGAAGATTAGGTCAACCACCAAACAACAGAGTAAATGGAAGATGACTGAGACAAGGGGGGACAGCTAAAAAAAAATCCTTCCTCAGAATTTGTATTGATGTGCAGAAACAAACATAGAAACATTCCCTGCCTAGTATATAAATGAAACAAGGAAAAACAAACTTGGATTCTTAAAGAATACATAGAAAATAAAAATTTAAGTAACTTATCACATAAATATGTCACTTTATTATTATTCTCATCACAGCCAATACTCATAAAATGCAGTGTTACAAATTGTAAGTCCTAGCAGATACTACATTGAAAATTAACTTCTCAAGATATGTAACTTCTTTTTCTGCTAGAATTATTATTTTATATTTCATAATTTTGAAATGAAATATAGCTTATTGGAGACCTAAGAAAATATGGTTAAATATTGTGAACATAAATTAAATTTTTGTAATATATTTCACCTAGTTGATTTTTTATAAAGAGCTAGTTTTCTTAAAAATATACATACTTTATTATGATATAATTGTACTCAAAACACCCAAACTTCAGTGTATTCTTTAAAAAAAAACATAAAAAGCTATTGCAGAAAACTGTAACTACAAATTATGAAATGAGACTGTGCTGTCATACTGTTGACATACAGAGGCAAATGTTCATATACAGTCAGTATCATTCCTCAATGTTCCATTGCAAAATCCATTTGTAAGCCATTGTGAAATATATGGACATTTTGTTAAGAATTACGTTAAAGTTTAATTCTATTCTGATCTCAATATGTAATTAGTAGTTCGTTGCTTGATTAGAGCTTATATTGGTTAACTGATAAAATTGTGTATACTAATATTATTTTCATCGAAATTTATCGATTTTACAATGGATGTCAATAAAAACAGATCTGTAAGGATACTCCTGAGAAAGAGAGACCCACATAACATAGTCAGGTCCAGGGTCCCCTTCCTGACTGCTGAGCCTCAGTGATTTATATTAGTTCCCCCCACTCCGCCCCTCTCTCTGTCATGTACACACACACACACACACACACACATGCATCCTACCTGTTTTTCAGAGACCATGATTAGCAGTGGGTGGGATGTTGGCATTAGAGGCAGCACTTGAACCCAGATCTACCTGACTCTGATGTATGTTAATGGTGGCTCAAGACACTTAGAGAGCTATCCAGAAGCAGTGAAAGGCTATGACTTTAAATAACAAACAAGTTGCTGGTGTGCATTAGGGGAAGGATTAACCAGACTAGGAATTCTTTTACCAAGTAAAACAAAATCTAGACTAGAGGGAAAAGCCATTTTTATCTTTATGCAATCAATTTAAAAAAAAAAAAAAAAACATCCATTAAGCACCTACTGTGTGGCAAGCTCTGTGCTAAACATTTGGGATACAAAAAGAGGCAAAAGACTGTCCCCTACCCTCAAGGAGCTCACAATCTAACAGAGGAGATACCAATCAAATACATACAAAACAAGCTTTGGACAGGATAAATAGGAGCTAATGAAAAGAGAGAAAGCACTGGAATTAGGAGGAGATGGGATGCAGAAGGTAGGATTTTAGTTGGGACTTAAAGGAAGCCAGGGAGACCAGTAGTCAGAGCAGAAGAGAAAGAACATTGCAGGTATGAGGGAGAGCCAGAGAAAATGCCTGGACCTGAGAGACGGAGGCTCTTGTTTGTGGAATAACCAGGGGGTCAGGGTCACCAGATCAAAAGGACACAGAGGGAAGTGAGGTATAAGGAGACTGGAGAGTGGGAGGGCACTAGGATATGAAAGGCTTTGACTGTCAAACAAAGCATTTTGTGTTTGCTCTTAGTGGCAATAGGGAGTTTATTGAGTAAGGGGGTGACATGGTCGGACCTGTGCTTTAGTAAAATCCTTTTGGTGGCCGAGTGGAGGATGCAATGAAGTGAGGAGAGACTGGAGGCAGCTATTGCAATATTCCAGGCATGAGGTGATGAGGATGTGTATCATTGGGTGGTGTCAGGGGAGAGGAGCGGGCATTTTAGGAGATGTCACAGGGGTAAAATCGATAGGCTTTGGTGCCATATTGGATCTGGGAGGCAGGAGAGAGTGAGGAGTCCAGGGTGACTCCTAGGTAATGAGCCTGAGGACTGGGAAGATGGTGTTGCCCCCTTGATTAACATCCCTTCTAAGAAAGTCGAGAGAAATCTTTTCCTAACACCGTTTCCTGTCATACTCTATTTTATTCTGTTTGGAAGCAACAACCGGGATTGGATTGGCAGGAAGGGTGAGGAGATTTTAAGATGTCCATCAGTTTCCCAGCAGCAGACAAACTTCATTCTTAGGGTGGGATGAAGGGAAAACAATGAGTAATCATTCTTCTATGGATGCCTTGCCACCTCTTCCTCCCTCCCCATCTGGATCCCTCTGTTGTCCCCAGGTGACTTCCTCATTTCAGGCATGGGAGGGGAAAAAGGCTCCAAACTGCCAAGAAAAAATCCAAACCCTAGAGTAGCAAACTGGGGCTGCAGGAGCATCCTGGTCCTTCCTTCCAGGAATGAAAAGTGGTTAAACCCCAGACTTCACACTGAGAATCGTCTTTTCTTACTCACTTGTCTAATTGTTTCATACCTTTTCTTTTCCTATATTTTCCTATTTCACATCTGCATAGTTCACAGACACCTTAGCATCCTCTAAAGTGCTTCATAAATTTTAATGCTTCAGATAAACAGTAGTTATTATTCTCTTAACGCCTTAAGAGTAAGCTTATATTTGAGTTCCTCTCCAAAGCCTTTGTCATTGTCAGACCAAGAACTACATCCTCCATAAGCCCAATTCCTTCTCTCTTAAAACAAATATGTAAGAAACTGAATCATAAAAGTATTTATACCTACATGCATACATACACACACACACATATATATATACAAACATGTACATCTCATATATGGATATTTAGCTATGCATATATACATATACCTACATATATGCATGTAAGCACACACATACATACATATATATGGGAGGTTACATGATCAGGCATTAAATTTAGGAAAACTTGTTTCCATAGCTGTGGAGGGTTGATTACAAAAGGGAGAAATCAGAGGCAAGAAGACCAGTTAGGAGGCTCTTACAACCCTCAAGGAAACTGGTGATGAGGGCCTCAACTTGGGTTGGGAACACATAAGTGGAAAGAAGGGGCTGTGAGAGATAGACAAGACAATATTGGGGGACAGATTTGTTATGTAGGATGAAAGTGATGGGACCAGGACATCAATGCTGTCAGCCAGAGTGACTGGGAAGGACTGCCTTCCACAGAAATAAGGAAGTTTGAGGGGAAGGAAGGGAAGAGAATGAGTTTTGTTTGGTCAGTGTTCAGTTCAAGATGCCTCTGATACATTCATATGGAAATGTATTGTAGGAAGCTTTGATGAAGAACTGAAGCCCCAGGTGGGCACTGGGCCTGGAAGACTTTTGGGAAATGGAGCAATTTTCTCAATGAACTCAATTTTCTACTTGAAACAAAGGACCCACAGTATTCTTCTGGTGACGCTTTATGTCCATGAGTTATGAAATACCACAATTTCTGGAAACTGTGTGTGTGAAGACAATGGTGCATAATGGAGGACAAAACCTCTTATTTTTTATTTTCATTTTGAGAGACAGAGACAGAGAGACAGAGAGATAGTCTCTTTAAAGAACACTAAAAGCCATGATAAAATTGAGAAATGAAGGGGCGATATTACCTTTCAGAATATTTTCTTTTCCTGGAATTGATAGTTTTGATTCTGCTGTGAAGATTTACCTAAAGAATAATAAGGAAGAAAGTGGTAGATGCTCATGCAAATTAAACTACCCTTGCAATTCAGTGCAGGTGGAGGGAATTCTAGTTACCATGTAAGAGGAATCAATGAGGCTTTGTCAGAAGCATCCAATGTCTCCGTAAAACTGCTGCTGACAAATCCCGATGCCGGGAGAACGGCTAGCCAGGTGTTGATCGCCTTCAGCTGAAAACAAAATTACTTTTTCTCCACATATGGCTATTTATAAATCTTTCCTCTCAGCAAATGAGATGTGTTTTAATGCCCTGGAATGCTTTCGTAAGCAGCAGGATTTCAGGGCAAATGCCACGTTTATGTTAACAAAGAATCTGAGCCAACTCAAACTACAAGAGGAAAAGATCACTAAGGTCACTGAACCTTTCCAGTTGGGACTTAGGTCAGAGTCAGGCTAGGTCACCCCCTTGTTTGTGAGATGATTGAGGCAATGTCTGCCTACAGCTGAATAGTTGCCCCATTCCTTAATTGACCTTTGCTTTGGCTTTAAACAAGATGGATTAATTTCCTGGATGGCTGGTTCCTCTTTGACTCTTCAGAGTTAACAGCCATTAAGAAAGTGAGCTATGTTTGACTTTCTACACACTTTTATTTAAACCCGAGGTAGTGTCAAGATCTGCATAGGTATTGTGAATATGCATGCATATGTACACACACATTCACTAGCCTGTATAAATGTGCACGTATTCAACATGGACACACGAAAGGAGAGGAAATCACGGATTTAAATGCCACTTTTAAATTACATTGATACATATTCACATATATATATATATATATATACTTATACATAAAATTATATATATATATATTATATCTCACATTAGGTTCTTAATAAATACTTGTTGAATACGTGTGTTCACACATAAAATGTGTAATGAGGATGTGTGTGCTCACATACATGAGTTTATGTGTAGGGGACCAGCACTCAATCTGTGACTTAGTTCCTATTGGGAAGTTCCAGCTGAGAAAAGCCCTTCTACCAGTGCTGGTTAGCACCTTCTTTACAATTTAGTCCTAGACAGATGCCTTGAACATTGACAGGTTATGTACCTTGTGAGGTCTGCTTGAGGTAGCTGGGTGGCACTGTCTATAGAGCTCAGGAGCTGGAGTCAGGAAGACCCGAGTTCGAACTCTGCCTTCCACAGATGTTAGGTGGGTGACTCTAAACAAGTTACTTAATCTCTGTACCACAGCTTCCTTTATCTGCACTTTGTATAATCTCACATATCTATTCCCCACATGACTTTTGTTTTATTTTATTTTTAACTTTTTTTAAATTAGCAAAAGTTTACCCTCTCTCCCTCCCACCCCTGACACAATTGAAAAAAAAAATGAAAACAAAATTTCTGTTGCAAACATGTATTTAAGCAAGTTTCCATTTCTCCACATTGGTCATGCCACATACACATACACATATACATTTGTATACATACAATTGTGTGTAGATAGATAGATAGATAGATAGATAGATACACATACATACATACATACATACATACATATATATATATATATATATATATACATATACATACACACATATGTGTGTAAATGGGGATAACACTAGCACCTCTCTTCCAGGATCATTGTGAGGATCAAATGAGCCATCATGTGTGAAGGATTTTGAGGATCTGAACATGCTCTGATCATCACTATAACCTTTTATTATCATTTGACCACTTTACCTCATTTTCCTCCCCTCTGGGAGAATGGAACAGGAGGAAAGAGGTTCAGCCTCCCTACTTTCTGCAAGCATAGGACATACTCATGTGTGGAAGTTGGAACCATTCACAACTTGTTTGCATTTCTTTGCTCTTTGAAATGTCCATTCGCAGACTGGTCCACATCATCCTCAAAAGAGACAGTGTCTAAAAAACTCTCTGCAAACCTTGAAGTACTCTATTAATGTTAATTGTTATTATCACTTTAGTCCAAACCAATAAAATACAGTTGGGGATTAAGAGATGAGAAAGTTGGCCGCTATTCAGACTGTTCTTTGAATTTCACTAAATCAGCTACGGAGACATTAAGAACATAGGATAGAAAGCTACTAAAAGAAGTAGATGATGATAAATGTCACCAACCTGACTGCCACGAATGATTTAAGGAAGGAAAGGAAGATGTCCTTGATGAAGTCCCAGTCACTGTTAGAACCAAGGAAAATGCTGAAGGGGACAGAGGTTTCATTCATTCATATGGATCTGAGAGAATGATGGCCAAGGTGTCACATTCAAATAAAGAAACAGACTTGTTCAGAGATGAAAGGGTTGAAACAATGCAAGTTCTCTTGAGGATTATGTCATGCATTTTGAGGGATGAACAGCTGACTTGACGTTAGTTCTGATCTATGAAGGGAAGCTGGTCCAAAGACGCCCTTCTGAGGGAAACAGAAACTGACAATGAAATACATTGTTTCGAGTCTTCTCTGCAAGCAGAAATCCAGCATTCACTGGGAAACACCAGCATCGGTGGAGTGGGGCTGCTGGACAAAGGCAGCTCTAATGGAGATGGGCATGAGAACTTTGGCGCCACCCCAGGCCTCGGGACACGAGGCCAATTGGGAGCTGCTGATCACATGTATCCTTTAGCAAGGGGCCAGAACATGCAGCCTTCCCCATAGGCCCAAAGAGGCCTGGTGTCTGTGATAGAAAGAGCCTCCCATATCTGGTGACATCAGCATGACTCAATAAAATGTCATTTGAAATCCCCAAGTGAAGATTATGTTGATTTATTTGACTTTAATGTCATCATTCCAGTAGGGTTATTCTCAAAAAAGTCAAATAAAGAGGGCATCTTATTATTTAGACATCTGGAATCCCTTGGGACAGGCTGAACAGAAACCTGGCATAGAGCCTAGAGAGTCAGACTGGGAGATGGGAAGGTCAGCTTTAAGTCATACCTCAGTTACCAACTGACTGTGTGACCCTGGGTGAGTCACTTAATTCACAAACAGCTTTCTAAAATTATAAAATACATAACAGTTTCATACATACATTCATAAAGTGAGTTCCCTCACCAGTAATTACCTATGCTAATGAAATCATGGGCCCAGATTAAAAAATAAAAATAATAATGACAACAATAATGCCAACCGCCTCCAGAAGGCTGGAGCCCAACGTCTGGCTTCTTCCCATCAGGCTCACTAGGTACTTTTCTTATTTAGCTCTTTATTTACATAATTCTAAACTTAGCAACTCTTAACAGAAACACGCATTTGAAAGCATAAACAAAATGAAAAGCTAATGTGTAAAACTGTCAATGCTGCTATTTGTTAACTGTTAAAAAAAACCAGCAATGTATGGGCTTTGGACTTTAAGAAAATGCTTTTCTTTTTTAATGTATTCATTCATCGCAGATTTGAAATCTTCCACTTCTGTGTTTTCTCCCTCCCCTCCCCCATTTTACTTTTGTTTTTATTGTTATTTTTGCATTGTTAGCACCCTATTTCTACGATAGGTCTAGTCCTGTTTTTGTGTTGTTTTTTTTTTTTTTCACTATGCCACATTTAGAAGTCTTCTCATATTTCTCCTCTGCTACGTGAGCCAGCAACCCCAACAGGAATATGTGCTCTCTGGACTCCTGATTTCTGGGAGTGTGGTAGGGCCACTGGGTAAAACACAAGATGAGGTGCTCTCGCAAAGTCGATACAAATACCCCAGAAATCTAATGACTTAAAGCACCCTGGGAAGAGGGATGTTAAGAGAAATATTTATACCCATCCAAGTCTAGATGAAAAAGCAGACAGAGCTTTCTCTCTCTTTCTCTCTTTCTCTCTCATTCTGACTCTCTCTCTGTCTCTACCTCTCTGCCTCTTTCTCTCTCTATCTTTCTCTGTCTCTCTGTCTGTATTTTCACTCACCCCCGAATCTAGTGCTCACAAGATGGAAAAGGGGGCCTGGCCCTATGAATCTGGGGCTAAGACTTCGTTTCTCTTTTGAGATGAATTTCCCTTCTTGCTGACCTTACTGTGGACGTCTATCTACAGGAAAGCAGGTGAGGAGGAGTGAAATCAGGACAAGGGTTTCAAGCCTTTCTTGTTGCTTTGGAGAAAGCCAGCAACTGCGAGAAGCTAATTCCTGGAGAATAAGTGCAAAACTCAAGGTAAGTGTTTCACCCAGATGGAAGGTGAGTCAGTAAGGACTTGTATCTTCTGAGCCAGTTCAAGGGCAATTACTATAACTGCAGTGGTCACAGGATGTGCCATTTGACAGTAGGTAAAGGATGTAAACAGACAGTTTTACAAAGAAGAATTACAAATGATCTGTTGCGAATATTCTGATGAATTGTGTCAATTCCTGGTAGACTCAGCATGACTTTTTTTTTTAAATCAGAAGTGTTTGTGGCAAATAGTTTTGTCCATTTGCTTATTTGCTTTTATGCTACATTTCTTTTTATGTTGCTCACCTTCTTTTGTCTCCTATAACTTCTCTCTGTTTGCTGATCCTTATTTTATTTTATTTTATTTTGTACCAGACTCATGATTTCTTCAATATAGGCATCTTCTGGTGGGAATCCCCACTCATTCTGGTAGGTATCTCCTCTTCAAACGAGTTATTGTCTTGGAGAGTTGTCTGTAGTACTCGGAGGTGAAAAGACTTGACCAGGGTCACATAACTGGTATTCATCAGAAGTCTGACTTGAATTCAGCTCTTCTGAGCTCTGAAGTTCACTCTCCATTACCGCTCCAGGAAGCCTCTCATACTACGCTAAAGCCCAAAGATAAAAAGATGTAACATGTGGTGAGTTACTATTTTTATGAAAATTATAGTCATCCTATTGGGGAAAGAAAAAGAGGAGGGATGCTTCCTGGATTACACAGCCAGATGGAGATTCTCACTCTAGCTGTGAGCCTCTTGGTAATCCCAGGATACACACTGAATTCAGCTTTGGGTCTGTGTAAGAAAAGTAGTCACTGTGACCCAAATATAGAAACACCATTGTTTTATATGTGAAAAGCAGTGTGGTGTAAGGGATAGACACTGACCTAGGGATCAGGAAGACTTGGCTTGAATTCCTGCCTCAGACATTTATAGGCTGGATCACCATTGGCAAGTTGCTTCCCTAGATGCTCAGTTTCCTCAGCTGTAAAAAGAAGAGCTTGATCTCCAAGTGATCTCCAAGGTTCTCCAGCCCAGAATCTATGGTCCAACAGCCTACAGAGACATAGCCATGATCTAGTATAATCTCACATATTCTTA